TTTTGTATTAGGAACGACACTAGCCTGTTTTATGGCCCTATTGCACCGTCACCGTTTCTTCTACTTTGTGACAACCTCTTCAAAGGAGACTGTCTGTCGAATTAATGGCGAATAACGCTCAGGGCAAGCAGTCCCGTAATAGTTTATACAACTATTGGGATATCTAGTCGGCTAAGATTGATCAGATGATGAGTCTTCAGTCACTACCTTTCCGGACTGCCTGAAGCCGAATTTATTTTTTTACCTTTGTTTGTGTGTTTAACGAACTGGTTTTCTTACCCAATGCGAAGGTGGTTAAATGGCAATAACAGAGGTGTGGTTGAGCTAGTTACCGATATTACCGAGCCACTACTTGATAGGTCATCTGCGGCATCATTCCCGTGTGAACTACTAACCCTTTACTCTATTGGAGAAGTACCAAATTTACTGTGGGTTGTTGCTCCAAAGAACATAAATATTTAGTTACAATTTCTGGCAATGTTTCTGCTTTGTTTGTGTTTCTGGACTCAGAGCTAAATAAAATATACTCCATTGTTCGCCTTAATCTGGCTTTGTTTGCATGTTATATTGTACAGTATTGTTATCCATTTATTTTTTACATGATATCTACTTTATGAAAAGCCTTGCCTAATTAAAAAAATATCTTGAAAATTTACAAGTATGAAGATGAGGAAAAAATACAATCGAAATTTAACACACAAACAAGCTAACAAAGAGTGTTTAAAATATATTTTTCAAATCTGTTAATAATCTTGTTTTGGAGTAACTTTATGCAGTGAGGGTAGGTTGATTCAAAGGTTTAAAATTTAAGACCATGGGAGTGCTATATTTTGGCACATATGGATCAATTCGACCGGAGTAATACTACGGCCTCACAAAAAAACCGATGTTAAGCAATCATTTCAGTGCTCCTCCCATTCTAGAGGGAGAGGAGAGTTATAGCACGATAACACATTTGTATCTCTTGAGTTACATGTATCCACGGGCGGTAGCCACTTACTATCAGGTGAGTCGTCTGCTCGTTTGCATCTATTCGATAGAATAATTTTTGGGTTCGAAAATATTTTATTATTTTAGTTTTTTCTATTTTTATATTCTTGATTTTAGTTTTAAAGTAGCTTAACAGTATTAGAGTACGTACAAATACGGTACGGATATTGATAGTACCTACAGTCTACGGTTAGTACACGAATTTTTTTCATTTTTTTGTAGCAGAAAAGAAAACAATTTTACTTTCTGATTTCTATTTAAATCTTCTTTCTCCGAGCCTTTTTCCCAAACTAGGTTAGGATTGGCTTTAAGTCAATACGGCTGAACTTCGATTCGAGCGACTACTATCAGACCTCCACAACCCAAGCACTAGGCGATATTCAAGTCTTTTCTACTTGCTTGATGGTGTCGAACAGTTTCAAATTTCGTGTCTCCGGTATGAGGAAAACAGCAGTCCGGTTAAAATTGCGGAGCAACCGACTAGAGTGAATGGTTGAATTCTTGATATCGTGTTCTAAAGCAAAATGAAACAAAATAATATACATATAAGACATAAATTAGGACAAATGGAATCTGTTTGATTGTCCTGTGATAGCATGGCAAATATATTTTTAATTAGCTGACTCACGCAACTTCGTCGGCGTTTCACAAAAGGAATAAAATTTCCCCGTTTTTGCAACAGTTTTTTTTTTGTTTTCATTGATTCTCTGCAACTTTTGGTCGTAGCATGATAATATAATATATAGCCAATAGCCTTCCTCGATAAATTGGCTATCCAATACTAATAGTTCTTGAGATTAGAGCATTTAAACAAACAAACAAACTTAAAAATATTAGTATAGATTCTCTTGGATGTTTTTTTTTTTTTGGGTTGCCAAAAATAACTATTTTTTTGTTGCTTTTTTTTCCAGTTAGTGAGGTTACCGTAGTTCAAAGCCCCAGTTTCCCTGATTCTGAGTAGGCTCAAAAGTTGGCAACACATTTGTGTCTGCAGGTGTCAAAAGGCGGTGGTAATCACTTCCCATCAGGTGACCCGTCTGCTCGTTCCCCTAAAGTATAGAAATAAATAATGCAACTTGCAATGAAACTGATATGCACAAGACTTCGAAAAAGTTCGTTTAATGATTTATGTATAACTAGCCTTAAAGTAGCTTATGTTGGTCGCTAATAATGTAGCTATTGGTGAAAGAATTTTTAAAATCGGTTAGTGGTTTAGGCGTGAACGCATAACAAACCAACACTCTTTCACATTTAAAATATTATTATACATACATTTATGTATAGTTCGCGTGGTGGTCGAATTTTTAATCATATTTACTAAGTTTTAATTTGTTATTGTTTTACAGCATCAACCAATTTAGCTCTCATGGTAAACACCACAGAAATCTTAATAATAAGACACTAGAAATGAATTAGCGTACGATTATTTCCAAAACCGATGTCGCCACTTCTTAACACATACACAAAATACAAACATAGATATACGACTCGCACACACTTGCGATACAACGGTTAAAATGGATAGGGCGTACACTATTATAAACCTTAATTTCCAGGAATTACATTGCAATTTACTTCAATTTATTATTTGGCATCACTACAATCTCTTTCGATTTGTGAGAATCCCCGTAAACAATGCTAGGGATACACTAAATTATTCGAAGGTGTCGATATTTATTTATATATTACAATGGAATACAAGTAGTAATAAAAACTATATATTTTTTTATTTCTTTACTTTAGGTATTAAACAAGAAATAAAACAGAATTTTCACACGGTGTGCCACTCTGCGCCTGTAATAGGAGGGATCCGGGAACAGCTGTTATTAAGACATCCGGACCCCTCCTAGCGCCAGCCCGCTCTTGGCACAAACCCTATAATAACCATAGTAGGCCAAAACCTGCTTTCTAAGGAGAGGCCTATGTCCAGCAGTGGACTCTTCTTGGAGTGCTAACCACCGGTGTCTTAGTCCCTGTACCCGATGTAGGTGGTCTACTAGTTTTAATGTTTTTAAATGTTTGTTTTTCTTTTGTAATACATTTAAAAATGTTATCAATATGTATATACATATAATTTAATAAAGAGAATAACAATATTTCGAACATTTTACATACAAAGCCATCTAATTTCAAACTAAGCAGAGGTTAAACTATGCTAAATTGACTGATAGAATACTTAGATACATCATCTGCCTACCCTTTTCCCAATTTTATTTGGGGTCGGCGCAGTATGTTTGATTTTTCCATTCTACTCTGTCATGCGTCATCTCACTGTTTACTCCCTTGCTAGCCATATCCTCCCTCACGCAGTCCATCCACCTTTTCTTCAGTCTGCCTCTTCTCTTATACCCTTCAACTCTCATACCTAAAACTTTCTTCGCCACATTTTCCTCATCCCTCCGCATGACATGTCCATACCAAGATAACCTATTACTTCTTAACTTTTCATCCAGTGGCGCTACTTTCAGACTCCCTCGTATATACTCATTCCTAACCTTGTCCATCTGAGTCACACCACACATCCATCTCAGCATTCGCATTTCGGCTACGTTCAGGCGTCTCTCATCCGTTCTCTTAATGGGCCAACTTTCAGAACCATAGAGTACGGCAGGTCTGATAATAGTTTTATAAATTTGTCCCTTCAGTTTTAAGGGGAAACTGGGGTCACAAGTTGTTCCCGTTACCTGCCGCCACTTCATCCATCCCGTATTGATTCGATGCTGTACAGTTCGATCAATCTCACCATCACATTGTAAGAGGGAGCCGAGGTACTTGAAATTGGAGCAGACTGTTATCGCTATCCCATCCAGCGAAATGGTTTCAGGACTGGAGAGACCGCCGAAATCGCAGAACATGTACTCAGTTTTGGTTCTGCTGATTTTCAAGCCAACATTCTCCAGCCTTTGTTGCCATTTTTCCAGTCTGCTCTGGACCTCAACCCCATCCTCACCGACCAACACAATGTCATCTGCAAATAGCATGCACCAAGGTGCCTCCTCCTGTATGTCCGATGTCAGAGCATCCATTATCAACAGGAAGAGGTATGGGCTCAGAGCTGATCCCTGGTGCAAGCCTACAGAGACACTGAATTGATCAGTGTTTCCCGTGACCGACCGTACATGAGTGCTAGACTCTCTGTACATAGCACGAATCAATTCTACATACTTAACAGGCACTCTTTCTTCTTTCAAAGCCCACCACAAAACCTCTCGGGGTACCCTATCATATGCCTTTTCGAGATCCACAAACACTATATGCAAGTTTTTGTGCGCACTCCTGTATTTCTCACATAGTTGGCGCATTGCAAATATAGCTTCTGTTGTCCCGCGTCCTGGCATAAACCCAAATTGACTTTGGGTTATCTGACTCTCATCTCTTATTCTTCTCTCAATCACTTTCTCCCAGACTTTCATAGTATGTGACATGAGCTTTATTCCTCGATAGTTGTTGCATTCCTGAACATCTCCTTTGTTTTTGAAAATGGGTACGAGTTGGGTTTGACACCATTCCTTTGGGATTACCTCTTCAAGCAACAAAATATTGAAGAATAGAGTCAGCCACTTATATCCGTCTTCTTTCAGTAGCTTCCAAACTTCCACTGGTATACCGTCGGGGCCAACTGCTTTTCCATTTTTCATACTTCGTACTGCCAATCAAGAATACTTAGATACCTTTTTTGTAAATACAAAAGTACATAATATACATAGGAAACACTCTAACTTCGAAACAAATATTTGCAGATCATACAAACATTTGGTCCGACCCGGGCATCGAACCCGAGACCTCAGCACAGCAGTCGAATACGCTACCTGAACTTTTTGCGGTAGATGAACTGGGTTGTAACTTGGTCCACTCGAATTTTTTTATGTCATGTTTTCAATGAGATAACATTTACATAAATCTTACCTTTTGATTTAGAGGTAGAACTTAACTCGAAAACAACTTCATTTAGAATAAATCAAAAACAAGAGGTGGTTTCAATATTTATATTCTTTTTTTGAGACACCGTCTCATATATAATTGTCAGCATTTACGTCAGTGATGACGTTATTATTTTTTGTCACGACATTTGTTATTCCAGAGTTTTTCATTTGCTCAATGGTATCATACAAAGGCATATCCTTGGTCTCTGGAGCCAAGTAGAGGAGAACACCCGCGATAATGGTGGCGCATCCAAAGAACATGAATGGTACTATATTTGATATATTATTCTGCAAAAGAAGAAAAACAAGTCATGATACGTAAACAATAATAGGTATTCTTTTTAAAATCCGAACGAATAATATTGGTAAAATTGTTGAAAACAAAAATGAATTAAACCTGAGCGTGCAAAAGTATTCACATTCACCCATTAATCGTTCAATCGTTAATAAATTCATCGACTCTGAAACTTAACTGAACTGAAATACGAGAAAAACCAAGTGGCGTTGACCTAAACCACAATTATTTGTACTATGCCCTAAGACTCCAAACGACTACTCACCAGAACCACCTAGGTTCTTGCGGAAGGAATATCCAAATAGTTCCAATAGAGTCTAAAATTATTGTATTGTTTTTTTTTAAAGACAACTACTGCACTAGGAAAATATCCTGTCTCGCAGGAGACTTTCAAATAATTATGAAACGGACACAAAGAACTCTCAGACTCAGAACAACAATTTGTGGATCACACAAAATGTTGTGTCAGCGCAACTACTCCATCCGTGTATAATTATTGTGTACAAAAAAGTGTATAATATTTACCAAAATTGGCGTTAGCGGTGCCAGCATGCCTCCTATCTCAGCAGTAAATAACGCTAGACCAAACAGTGAACCTCTCACACTGGTGGGAAATAGTTCCATGGCAAACGTTATTGCCCCTGTATAGCACGCCGATATGACCACCTTAGCTAGCAGAACAACTGACAATTTCACCGATGAATATTCTAAAAAAAAGAGGTGTTTATTAAAAAGTAAAAAAACCAAGAGCATTTTTTTAAAGAAACTAATAATAAATAATTTTATTATATAGTATAATATACAAATATACTGTTTGTGGAGGAACAGGTGTTATATCCCTCCAACACAAAGGGAGGATGCTCCGACCAGGCGAGGTGATCATGCCTGGCGGGCCGCGGCCCAACGGTTGATGTTAGGAAGTTGTCTAATTAGCGAGAGAATTCATCATATCGCGAAACTAACTATTACATTCATTTTCATAAAACACAATAAATATATAAACACGCGTACCTGTTGGGATTAGCACCGAGATAATGCATAGCAATCCGCATGTTAAAAATCCAGCCTGCAATGGAATTTTCCTCCCAACTTTGTTCATCAAATACAAAGAGATTATCTCTCCAGGAAAAGACATTAGTGAAGAGAGGAGAAAGTTCAGATGTTTGTCTCCTGGCAGCCAAACAGAGTTTATCATTATTCCATAATATACAAAGTTGGATGTAAATTGACATATACATGCAACAAACAACCGCTTAGTAATTTCTTTGGATTTGAAAGCATCTATATAATTTTCTTTGACCTCATAACTTTTAATGTCAAACTTTTCTTTTAGTTTATCCTCATCAATATTTTCTAATTCTTCATTACTAATACATATTTTATTATCTTTAGCAATTCTTTTTAAATTTGTTTTTGCACTTTCAACTCTTCCACTTACGATCTGCCATCTGGGACTTTCGTTTATTAAGAAAAACAAAAGTATAGAAAAGATGCTAGGGCCGTTTATAATATGAATCAGCGTCTTCCAATAGGGTACCAGCATTGCGATACAGACGAATACAACTTCTCCAAAGTATACAGTGTATGAAAAAAGAACACCTGCAAGTACTCTGTATCTTTTTCCTGCTATCTCCAATACTGAAAAAAATCGCCAAAAAGCCAAATTATTGTATTTAAACTTTAATACTATGAGTATATAATATAAAGTCATTAAACGGAACTGAATCAGTAATTCTAAATACCAAATCTCAAAAATGTTTTCTATGCAATCAGCATTAACGGTCTGAATAAACTACTCTTCAATTAGATTTATCATTCTGTTTGGATAATTATTAAAAAAAACAATAAATAGATAAATTCCTATTTGAAATAATATTATGGTCTTAGCCTCCCGTTCATCACATTTGAATAGACTGAGGACCACAGCCATATGATATCAAATATATTGATCTGTTAATTTCTAATTTTGTCTAAATATGGTCCAGGTTAATAGAGAATTTCGTTCTAGGTTAATCAGATAAAAATGTAAACTTCAAACTCCTTGTCACATTGTTTAATATCTTTGGACCATATAAAACCATCATGTCTATTAATAATATAATCTTACGTATAACGGTGGCAACAGCGTAAGATCCTCCAACGACGCATGCTTCCAGGAACTCTATACCAATATACATGTAATAAGAGGTAGCGATGGTCTTAATTTGTCCGATAATACCTCCAGACACGCAAAATATTAGCGTAGGTTTACGACCAAACCTGAAATTCAAAATCCATTTTATAAAATTATAAATTTACTTTAAAAATAGAATTCAGGCAACGCAAAATCATAAAAACTGAATGCGAAACATTTCATAATAATATTTCAGAAAAAATCGGGCATCTGACACACAACGCCATCTAGTTTTAAACTAAGCAGAGCTTGTACTATGAAAGCTAGATTGACTGATAGAATACTTTGATACTTTTTTTTGTAAATACATACATATTATATATAGAAAACACCCAAACTCCGAAACAAATATTTGCAGGTCATACAAACATTTTGTCCGGCCCGGGAATCGAACCCGAGACCTCAGCACAGCAGTCGCATACGATACCACTGCACTACCGAGGCAGTCATGGTTCACATTCCTAGTGGTTTATATGATGATTATAATTATTATATAAAACTAACAGAGGCTTTGAAATAAACGTTTACAACGCTATAAAATTAAGCTAACTCAAGATAAACAAGTATTTAATTAGATGTAGAAATATATATATGTACAGTTATGTATGATAGCTACGACGATATGAAGCGTCTTGCTTCTGAGAATCTAATTCCTTTTTAATTAACTGATATTAATTATTTTACTCTAAATAATGTTGTTCAATAAATTTTGCATTTGTGTAAAATATTTAAAGTAATACACTGACAAGATACTCCATCATCAGCCTTTGATAGTCCACTGCTGGACATAGGCCTCTCCTTAGAAAGGAGGTTTTGGCCTACTACACCACGCTGGCCAGACGGGTTGGTATAGGGTTTGTGTCAAGTTTTCGTTCTTTTTGCAGTGCTGGTGACCTGCGTTGTTTTGCGCCCTCAGTCGGCTCTTACGACACACACGGGATGAATTGGGGTAGTGACATTCCGTATTCTTAATCCGTCACTACACGGACAGATACAAGATACTCCGATAGCCTGAAGTAACTTACCTGTCCGACATCCAACCAGTCACAACTATAGAAATACTCATACCCAAGTTGTGGAACGTACCAATCAGATTTGATTTCCATGGCTGGCAGGCCAGGTTCAACTGGAAAATCACTTTAATAATAATCATTAATTCATATTCATCATTTTCCAATAAATTATAAATCTTGAAAATAATTGACGACACACAACAAATGAAGTGGTACCCAAAACCTTCAATCGATTTCAGCACGGGAACAAGAACAAATTTTGCCTGGTAGATCAGCTCAACTAAGGATTCAACTAAAATTGACCAAAGTCTGTGGTTACCACGTGTAGTTGCATTTCTCTTAGTAAAATGAATGGCAAAACGTAGGGATAGTGAAATTCATTTACATATAAATTTAAATCAACTAATATATTACTGGCTTGTTTATCTAGTGATTCGATTACCTGATTTTTTTTTTGTGATGAGCATGATTATTTGTCCCGTATTTGGGCATAATTCGTATTTAATATGTCATCATCATCATCAATAGCCTTTAGTAGTCCACTGCTGGACATGGGCCTTTCCTTAGAAAGGAGGATTTCGCCTACTATACCACGATGGCCAGACAGGTTGGTATAGGATTTGTTTCAAGTTTTACCTTTCTTTGCAGTGTTGTTATCCTGTGTAGTTTGCTCCCTTAATAATCTATTAATTTTGGTGAAAAGTAGATGTTTTATGGAATATTACCTCTGCAATAACAGTGTTATTGTTTTCATATATCCAGTGATCACAAGTGGCCAGTTCACCGGTGAAACTACTGTTGGAACACACTTTTACTCCTTTGCTGAGTACAGGCCTGGAACATCTATCTCTAGTTGTTTCAGGCCACCAAATTGGGAATTCTGCTGTCGAATTTGCCTCTTCGCATTCATCAATCTGACATCTAATAATAATAGAACAATAAAGTTATAGGTTTTAAAATAAACTTAAATCAAATATTTTTTTTTTTTTATTTATTTTACATCTTCATGCACTTATGTACATCGGCGGACTTAATGCCCTGGGCATTCTCTACCAGCCAACCTTTAGGTGGTGTAGAAATCTTGTAGGGTAGGTGCACCGAGGTTACGATTGTAATCAATGATTATAAATAATTGTTTATCTAAAACTAAGCAAAATCTACAAATATTATGCATATAAGTTATAATGTAATACAAATATAATTACACATATATATAGAAATAAATATAGATATAAATACATATTATTTATGTTTGTACACTGTGAATGCTTGAATTTAGGAGGTGTACCACTTGTTAAGTCACTTCCGCCATCTCTTCAAGAAGGTAATTATGTACATTCCTTTTAAATGCGAAACGGTTTGTGGACATCCTGATTTCGAGTGGGAGCGCATTCCAGAGCAGAACTACTTGTACAAAGAACGAGGAGTTCACGAAGTCTGAGTTGTGGGGGGGACACAAGAGAAGCAAATTATTCGTTGATCTAAGATTTCTGTCGTGATTAGAGGACAAGAAACGGATGTAAGGATCGAGGTAGGTGGGTGAAAATGGGCAGTTGAGGAATGAAAAGAGAGAGGTCAGCGCTCGCTGATTGCGACGCAAGCGAATAGGTAGCCATTTTAATTGGGAGCGTAAAGCAGACACATGGTCATACTTGCGAAGATTGAATATGTATCGAATGCAGTTATTGAGAAGACGGTCTAGCTTATTGAGGAGGTCTGCATTCAGGTCGAAGTAACACACATCACCATAGTCAATTATAGGAACAATTAGGGACTGCATGAGAGAGGTTTTCGTTTTAGTGGGCAAGAAATTTTTAAGTCGGTATAGTGTTCGCAGGTTACCCGTTACTTTTTAGCTAACATGAGTAACTTGAGCACGCCAATCTAGGGTTGAGTCGATGAGCAGGCCTTATGACATCTGTATTACTGTTATTAATCTTTACTTTACACCAATTCAAACAGACAAATTACCCAGAGAGCACAAAACATTTGCTCTATTAATACAGTTCTACTATTAAAACGTTCCAAGTGAATCAATACCTAGTATAAAATTTAATAATGAATCCCTTACTGTTCCTAATGCAATATGTAGTGCTTTTAACAATATTTTTTTAGACAGAATAGTCCCAAATAATCGTTAAAATAAATTGCTATATTCTACATATGCGTCCTCTAGGCAAAAAACTATGTTCTTGAAAGCTTGCTTACGCTTTAATATATTGCAAATTATAAGAAACTTAAAGAACACTAACAGTGTGGATGGAATATGTACTAGAGTCATATAATCTGTAACAGGTTATATTTGCCATCGTATTTGTCATATTATGAATGTATGTATAGCAGCTGAAGTTTTTCCAGGCAAACTGAAAGCAGTGATCATAAAACCTGTATTTAAAAAAGGAAATAGAGACAGTATAGAAAACTAAACTAACTAAAGATATTTAAGAAGTATATATATATGGGGAACCGAATGATTTATCTTGAATAGAATTGTATTCTGGCCAAAGAACAGAAGGGTTTTAGATGTAATAAATAAGTAAACATGGCCATATGTAAATTTCTTGCATTTGTACTGAAGAATATTAACCGTAACATACCTGTTTGCTCCATATATATAGATATGACCCAAGCATTTGATTATGTAGGTCATGATACTCTGCTAAGTAAGCTAAATGCGTATGGCATAAGGGGGAATGTATTAGACCTGATTACGTCTTACATTAGAAATCGTACTCAATATACACAAATTTCTAAAATGAATAGTGTTACCAAAATAGAAGAAGACTATCGATCTGAAACACGTGAAATACAATATGGCGTACCTCAGGGTAGTGTATTAGGACCATTGAAATCAAATGATGAAATTATATTTATTTCGGCACGTAAATCTTTTCAGATATTTTAACAAGTCGGACATTATTGTTCCTACTATATACTAATGCAGAGGATAGACCTAATACAATTACTGTTAAATGTAATAATTAGAATACCTATGGTAATGATATAAATAACGCATTGAGCTCTGTTGACGACTGGCTAAATGTAAATAATCTAAGAGCTAACGTAGGAAAGACAATGCTCATGCATTTCAGGCAGCGTATTCCAAGTATGAGAAACCTACAGATATGTGCTAATGGCCAATCTTTAAATGAAATAGATTCAACAAATTTCAAAACGCTGTTTGAAGGCAACCAATTCTCTCTAAAATCTAATTTCTTTCAGCCCTATTTAAAAAACATAATATTTTGACACTGCCGTCCTTTTATATACTCGAAGTAGCTATGTTTGCCAAACAAAATCTAAAGTTATTCGTTTTGTCTTCTGACGCGTATGGCCGAACGCAGAGAGATACACCAACCCGGCACACCCGACTGTGCCTGCGTAAATCAAACACTACTCTTATAATAGTGTTTTCGCTAGGGCTCCTAAAATATAATAAATTACGTAGGAATATAAAGGAGTCAAAGAGACCATCTTTAAACAGACATTTAAAAAAAATCTAAGCCAAAAATGCCATTATAATGTAACTGATTTTCTGCAAGACAAATTCTAAATCAAATTAATTACGTTCTTTGTTACCTACTTTATTTTGATCATAACTATGTGACATTTGATTAATATTTCTTTTGTTTTGATTCACAATCTCACTTTGAACATTTATAATACTCTTGATATTATTAATTCTCCGACATTAACGTTGCGACAAATGTATGTACATGAATATATTCTTAAAATTGTATTTGTCATGTTGCATGTTTAAATAATAATCTTTAACTACCTATGTCTTAATATTTTCACACCTTTAAAAAGTTCTATTACAGTGCATCTGCTTTAACTTCTACCAGCTTTATATCTGTATTATGCAAATAAAATGATTTGATTTGAATACATTACAACACTATTTCATAAAATGGCACAATATTTTTAATGAAAAGTCTTACAGGGTAATAACTCTACAAGGTTACACCATATCGTAGACAAATTGAGTATAATACCAACAGTTACTAACTACGCATTTAATGAAATATATCAACCCCCCCAACCCCCTCCCCCGAAGACCACCATTCAACTTCACTCTGTCATGATGACGTGTTATATAAAACACGAAGAATGGATCTTCGTGTTTTGTATAACACTGTCCTGTCCGCTGATGAGGTTTATGAAATCGTAACGAATCGGAGATGCATCGAAAACGGATTTAATAAACATATGGAACCGACTGCTAGATATTCAGTTAAGCTGAATGACACAGCTGAGACAGAGGAGATTGAGGGACGTAAGGCAAGCCTTTGCAAAATTAAATGCTACATTTTGGTTCAACTTACCGGTAATCAACATCGCCAACAGTAAACACGAAGTTAATGCTAATCATGGCTACAAATATTATTGGTAGACATATCAACATATACTGTATAATCTGATATTTGCCAAAAGTCTCCAGCAAGTCCGATATATCACGTGTCTCTTTCTCTTTGTCATCATTGGTCATTGTTATTTACGAGTTTAATAAGTGTTCTTTATATCTGAAATGTTCAGAAGAATACATTGTAATAAGGTGTAGGTTTAATTGTTGTTTTTAATTACTTATTTTCATCATCAACATCAACAGCCTGCTGGAGCCCACTGCTGGCTTAGGCCTTTCCTTAGAAAGAAGGTTTTGGCCTAGTATACCACGCACGCATTGAGTTAGATTAGATCTTTTCATTTTAGTACGCTTTTAGATTTGTTTTGTTGTTACGTCTTATAGTTTACAATTTCAAAAGAACACAGTTGTTTACACTTTCGGAGATTCGTCTCACGACGAGGTCACTGTGCCAAATTGTGGAGTGACAACGGGACCACGTTTGTGGGAATATCAAAAGAGTTGCAACAACTGACTGACTTTCAGTAAACCATAGCAGAATAACTGGAGGCTCACGGTAATTTTATTTTATTTTATTTTATTTTTATATTTTAGGAAAACTTACAGCTAGAATTACAATTGATATAAGACTAATAGGTGAAGGCCAATTAAAAGTTTTCACTGCTAGAACAATGAAGACAACTCTGAACATGGTAAGATGATAGGACAGTAGACATAGGTATTATTATAAATGTGATTTGTTTGTTATGCTTGGTCGAAGAAACCGTTGCCCAGTTGTTTTTTAAATTTAGTGACACTAGAAGAAAAAATGTCGATATCAACACTCCGGCATGCTGCATTATACATGCGACTCGCTCTGATCATGTATGAGTTTTGCCTGTACTTAGAATCTACAATGGGAACATGCAACAAGTTAAATCGTCGAAGATGCGCTGTCGGGACGTTTAAAGCAATTTTGCTCACAAGTTCAGAGGAGTCAACCGCTCCTCTCATGATGCCAAATAGAAACGACAGATCCGCTATTTTTCTTCTTTCAATGAGTGGAAGAATATGAAATTTTTTACACCGGGTCACGTAATCAGGTAAATAGCAACTACAACGATACTGTATATATCCTAAAAACCTTCTCTGAATGCGCTCTATTCTATCAATATAGACGTTATACATTGGATTCCACACTTGAGAACAGTATTCTAAGTGACTGCGAACTAGGGAACAATAAAGTATTTTTATTGTTTTAATGTTTTTAAAGTCTGCTGAAACTCTGAGTAGGAATCCCAATGCTTTGGAGGCTTTGCTAACAATGTTATAAATGTGTGTATCAAACAGTAGTTTCGAGTCAAAAGTAACACCAAGGTCTTTAATGTTACTGACTCTAGACAATGGGGTATCTAATAATTTGTAAGCCTGAAATATTGGGCTACGTTTACGTGTAAAGGAGCACACGTAACATTTATTGACATTTAAATCCAGTTTATTCGTTTTGCAGTACGCCTGAAATCTATTGAGATCTTCCTGTAGTTCTATGGCGTCCTGGACCCTATTTATCTGTTTCATTACTTTCAAGTCATCAGCATAAAGAATAATTTTTGAGGTTAGGAAGCAGTTATCTATATCGTTGATGAATATATTAAATAACAGAGGTCCCAACAGCGATCCTTGCGGGACGCCCGAAGGAATATTTGTAAGTGTTCTTCTAGACGTATAACCATTAAGTACAACAGTCTGACATCTGTTTTCCACGTACGATGTAAACCATCGAAACAAATTGCCGCCGACACCCATACTCAAAAGTTTACGCATTAAGATTGTGTGATCTATTCTATCGAAACATTTACTGAAATCGGTGTATATAACATCGACCTGTGACCCTTGTGACATGAATTTAGAAATAAAGTCACTACACACTATAAGATTAGATGTGGTAGAACGACCCCTTAGAAAGCCGTGTTGGTGTTCACCAAAACCAAGTTTGAGGGCAGCGTAGACTTGTCTGTGAGTGTGAGACGTGTAATAAGTGGCATTTTATTCCCCCACCTAGACGAAATTTCGGTGGTTTATGGGAAGTGGGAGTAAAATCCACCAAATTCTATCTCAAACGTGTAGTGGTCGACATCGACATATGAGTGGGTTGCTATTTTTTGTTTTAAAGACAACTTCCGCATTTGAAATGTATCCTGTGTCGCGGAGGACTTTACATACATACATGAAACTGACACAAAAAACACCAAGACTCAGAACAACAATTTGTGAATCACGCAAAGTGTCGTCCCATGTGGGGATCGAATCCACAACACAAAGCTAGCGACCGCTTTAAACCACTAAGCCAACCGTGCAGTCCAGTATATCAAGTCAAAGCATGTTTGAATTCGCGACCAAAGCTTAACAAACAGTGCAGAACCGGGTGAACTGACACTATTAACACCGGGACATTTTTTAATTGGAGTGTGGCGACTCCCACATACAACAAACAGAAACATACTACAGCGCCATCTAATGAAGACACACCGAACTACGGAGTAACTACTAAAATAAGAATTGCTAATCCTGTATCGCGATATAAAGAATTCCCGTGCCGGTTAGCATATATACAACTTCCCAACATCAACCGTTGGGCCGCGGCCCGCCAGGCATGATCACCTCGCCTGGTCGGAGGATCCTCCCTTTGTGTTGGAGGGACATGACACCCGTTCCTCCACAGGAGAACCACTCATAAGTGTACTTGACTATACATATGAAGAATCTAACCTGAGTTGTTTATCACGGTTGCAATTTGTTCAGAGTATGCTTCAGTCATTTTGAAGACGATGGTCTACCGAGTATTTGTCAAACCTTATGAATCGGTATAAGTGGTCAAAACGAGTTCCTGAGCCGAAAATTGGAGATATTGTCTTAATAAAGGAACCTAATAACCACATCCCGGTAAGGATGATATCACCCGTGTGGTCACAATACGTTCCAAAACATCAACCAGTCGAAGACCAATGAATTCTACACTTATTTATTTATCAATAACTTATTTGTTCAAAAATCAAATTATACACTTGTTCGTTTTTATATTTTATATTGTATATTTTTAAGTTTCAAGGTGTATTATTGTTTTAATTCACTGTTACAAGTGATTGTATTATATCATTTTGCAATGGTAGGTACTTGTAATGTTAAATTATGTTTTAATTTCAATCCAGCTCGTGAAGGACATTCTTACACTAAATGTCCTCGGTGGGCGGTATGTTCAACACGCAATTATGTACAATGTTGACCAAAAGCTCGATAGATGGCGTTAATGTCGAATTAGATGTCACCATTGTTATGTTCACAAGGCCAACGAAATAGGTCAATAAACTTTGTAATTTTGAATGTAATTCAACCTTCAGCTCACCCAGACAGGTTCCACCGCGAATATCGGCAAAGGCCAAGGTTGATGTTTGTACAATAATGTATAAAATAAATAATGATAAATTAAACACTGAATGATCTATGATAATTAAGTTAATAACAAAAAGCCGAAAAGAATAGAGAAGTCGAGTCTTCCGGAGAGCTGTGTGCGGCGATAGCTCATACACGGCTGTCTTGACACACATTTTTCGGTCTCACTCCCATCCGCTCAGAGCATGTGACGCGTTTTAAGGAACTGTTGTTAAGTAATTTTTTCGTAGCATTCTTTGTGAGTGAGGTTATCAGAGGTCGTTAAGCCTCCTCCCTTCTTATTCTGGGGGGAGTATCCAAAGGCCAGAAACGCACTTACGACTCTTGAGTTAGAAGTGTCGATGATCGTCGGTAGTTACTTACCATCAGATGACCCGTCTGTTCGCTTGCTGCCTTTGCCAAACACATAGTGTTTTAGTCCATACCACATCGCTTCGTAAACTCTTGTAAGAATAATATCTTGACTGGTTTCTGCCATCTACTTTGACAATTTGACGTTGACCTAATCCAAGTAACTTTATTATAACTTTTTTCCAACATTTTTAAGTTAATATATGTAATTGATGATATTGTTGTACTATAATTATATGATTACACTAATGACACATTTTTAAATAAGGTTACAGCTCCTTTTATGAAAATATTAAGACTTGACTGCACGGATGGCATAGTGGTATAAGCGGTCGCTTGCGCTCACTACTACGCTGAGTGTTGTAGGTCCGCGTGGGGCGACACTTTGTGTCATCCACAAATTGTTGTTCTGAGTCTGGGTGTTCTTTGTATCCGTTTCATGTATGTTTGTAAAGTCCCCCACGACGCAGGATTTGTTACTAGTGCGGGAGTTGTCTTTAAAAAAAACTACTATATGTACCTACCAAATGTGTTTCCAATTTGTCAATTTTTTTTTTTTAAACAACAGCCTGATAAAATATTAATAAAGGTAAGTCAAGGTAAAAAAATACAAATTGCAAAAGGGGGCAAACGAGCAGATGGGTCACGTTTGGTAAGCAACTACCGCCGCCCATTGACACCTGTAACTCAAAAGTCACAAGTGCGTTGCCGCCCTTGGAGTCCCTCCCGCTCGAGTCAGCGGGAGGGGGGATTTGGACTCCGGTAACCTCACTTATTCAGGGAAAGGCAATGAAAGAAATGCTTAACTCCACTCCGGTCGAGACGGCCCATTCGTGCCGTTTACTCGTCCTTTATATTAAGTCAAAGTTATAAAGAGATGTGACAACTTTACATAACAAGAAAATAATTAAATAGCCTTTGAATTTGTTCTTATTAAAACAGGAACGGAGATACGATTTGATTGATGAACTTGAGGAGTATGCAGTACCTAAAAATGGTAACCTCAAAATATTTGAAGTTTCGTATAGAAACTCGGTTCAAAAAATTGAAAATGATAAAAATCTAAGGTTTTTTTTAAATCTGACTAACAAAACCATTTTCCAGGGAACTAGAATCCATTGAAAAAAAAACAACACTATATAAGACTTTAAAAATACATCATGTTCTGTACACATGCAAGCACATAACTTAAAAAAAGTTATCACTAAAATATTAAATAAAACATACCATGTATTAAGGGTTACTATATCCTTCACACTTATCAATAATTATCCCACAAGATCAATAACATACGAGTATGTCCACTATCTAGTGAAAAAAACACGAATAACTATTATCAAAACTTTGGCGGTGGAAGAATGGCGAAAAAAAAACTCTCAACATTCTAAAATGGTAGAAAAACCTGACCCAAATATGCAAATTGTCCACCTAAACAAGTGATTTGAGTTGGAAGAATATAGTTTTTAAAAGGGCTAGTAAAAGGACATATGAATCCGGTTTTTAATGTTAAAATGGTAGTGGCAATAAGCAAACCGGCTCTTACGCATCTCTTACCTTATTTAGCGTTTACAAAGACACAAATCATAATATATAAACTAGAAGCTGGAGACATAACAATACTAATAAGGTACAATACTTATAATGCAATATTATCACGCAATTGCATGATCAACCTATAGAGAATCTAGAAAAATTCGTGAAGCTAAAAATTTTTGCCGGGTACAATACTGTTAATATTTACAGTGGAGTTAATAGTATAGAAAACAAACTATAGACGTGAATAAAATCGTAGACTTTTACAAAAAGTTATACATCATCATCAACAACAGCCTTTAATAGTCCACTGTTGGACATAGGCCTCTCCTTAGAAAGAAGGTATTGGCCTACTATACCACGCTAGCCACACGGGTTGGTATACCAAGGGTTTGTGTCATGTTTTCCTTCTCTTTGCAGTGCTGTTGTCTGGCATAGTTTGCTCCCTTAGTCGGCTCTTACGAACCACGGGATGAACAGGGATGGTGACACTCCGTATTCTTAATCCGTTACCACAATCTTTTGAACAAGAGTTATACGTAAATAATATATAGATCTTAATTGTAATCCTATTAACACAGTTACACTATATTATTTTAGGAATATAAAAAATTACGTTCAATAACAATAAGTTTAATATTTTTTAAGGTGATACTTGTATTAACATTTGAAAGACAACAATTATAGGTTTCAAAATACGAATACGAAGAATATAATGCAGAACAACACTTATAATATAACATTTTAGTCGTGATATTTAGTAAGTAAGAAGTGAACTACTCACGCTTTCAAGAAGATAGCCGCAAGTATTGACAAAATTATCAGTAAAAATTTTGTACCGATTTACGATGCCATCTCTTTTTGATCCAATCTTTTTCAAAGGTTCGTTTTTGAAAAGATTCGATTCTAGTTTATAAATAAAGAGTTATGATGAAGCACAGTAGTACCCTGATTACTCTTTATTTCAAGATATTATAACTTCATCAGATGCTTTATCTTTCTCACTTCTTTATCTAATCTTAATTGTTTCATTTGAGTCTTAAGGATATAATGGAAGTAATATATTTATAATATGCAAATAGTGCACGTGTTATATATAGAAACATAGTTTAAACAACATAAAGGTTATATATGCAAAAAAACAGGATCATAGTGGCTGAGATGTGGTGATTGCCAAAATCAGATATCATAAAATCACTCAATGAAGATCATAAACAAAAGAAGAAACTAATCGACTGACTGACTAATTCACTGACTAATCGATAAACGTTCGTTGCTAAACATCAACTAATATTCTTTCTGATATTATTTCTTTATAAACAACATTCTTCACTTTATTATATCGATATATATATTTTACATGCAAGAGTCATTGTATGGAAAGAAAATAATCACTCCATTTAAACTTCGTAAAATACTTAGTTTTTGTATGAAAAATGTTTTGTCAAATTTGACCAACTTGTGCTGGACCGTTTTTTTTTCTTGGTACTATACAATGGTTTTTATAATTAACTAATTTAGTTTATCATAAAAAAACACAGAACATTGAACCATCGTCAGAAAATGTCTTTGTATTTGTCAGGAATACAATTTGCACGAAAAATTATTTCATTATTTTGACTAATTGCCGCTGAAAATATTTTTTTCGGTTAATGGAATAAAATAATCTTTAAATGAAATAGGATCGACAGGCAGCATAAAACTAATTCGCCTACTTTATTAATTTTAATGGACAACCCAAACTTGACCAAAATAGAAGACCTTCCAGAACTATTTCCATAAAAAGCGATACAATAAACTTGTTTCGAACCATGAGCCCATATATCATTTTTTACAATTCTAACTTCTTTGATCAAGATTCATACAAACCTTTAAACCCTTTTTTACCCCCTAAGGGGATGAACTTCCAAAAATCTCTTCTTAGTGCACCAATGTGCATCGCTTAAGGAACATTTATGCAAAATTTCATGCTTCTATACCCAGTGATTTCATCGTCGTTCGATCAATCAGTGAATCACCCGGTCAGTTTCTGTTTTTGATTTGGAAATTTATTTGGACTCCACTTGCATTTTTTGAACACGGTGTTAATACCTTCGCTTATTACTGACTCTAACAAGGCTTAAGAGTTCATTTTCACCTATTTCTAATTGTGGTATCACTATGTTGGATCCAAATGTTTCGATGACAAACATAATTTAAAATCTTAGTGCTGATTTGATGATTGCTAAAGATATTGAAAATAAAATCTTTAATCCCAACTAGTAAACCTCTTGAGTTTGGATACCATAGTTGATTTTTCTATTTATACTCAACAAGATTTACAAGCCATAATGTTAACTATCATTATAAATTCATTAGTATGGTGTATATTATTATATTTAACAAGTTATCTGTTTATGATAAGATTTAATTTTATTAGAAGAACTTGCTGATATCTCTTATGTTTACTAGGATTTCCTAGTTATTTTCCATATAAGTACAAATATCGTGTGTTACTCAACTCGGGGATTGACACAAGCTTACCTTCACGTGACGTGCCAAAGGTCAGACTATAAAAATATCGTTAAACCGGCAAACGATAGTCGACTTAAATGAAAATCGTCAAATAATTAAACTCCTCAATTTATTTATTTTGTAAGTTTTAATAAAAGAATAATAAACGACAATATATTTCGGACATCTGACACACAACGCCATCTAGTTTCAAACTAAGCAGAACTTGTACTTTGAACGCTAGATTGACTCGGACCAACATCTGAGTGTCCATCTCTCACAGCGAAACGACAATATATTTCGGACATCTGACACACAACGCCATCTAGTTTCAAACTAAGCAGAACTTGTACTTTGAAAGCTAGATTAACTCGGACCAACATCTGAGTGTCCATCTCTCACAGCGAATTTGAATCTGCTTAGCCGTGCATGGATAACAAACCATACCTTTAACAACATGAATGCATAAATGCACTTTATATATGAAACCAAAGAGTACAGTAATGTAGAGTGTGACCACCCTCTTCATCCCATGGGTATAGTAAGAGCCCACTAAGGGGGCAAACTACGCAGGACAACACCACTGCAAAGGGAAGGGAATCTTGACACAAACCCTGTACCAACCGGTCTGGCCAGCGTGTTATAGGCCAAGAGCTCCTTTCTAAGAAGAGGCCTATGTCCAGCAGTAGTGGACTATTAAAGCCTATTTATGTGATGATTGAATGAATATAGAATAATCATTACTTAATAACTATCTTCTTAAATAGTTTAACCGAGTTAAATATTTGTGCACACTTGCAAACCTTATCAGTGGTAAAAATAAAAAAATAGTTATTTCTGAAAAGTGTACCAATATTTTATTTATTCATTCTTGTATCTCCCCAAAATAGTGGTTGTTTAAAATTTAATTGCATATGTATTATTTTCTTAAACCCATGCAAAAGAAAAACAAAGTTGAGTATTTATGCTAAAAACGTATAATTATATTTGTAATAGGTTCACAAAGACAAACAAAATAGTAGTATAAAACTTATAGCCGCTTTTCCTCTCTGGCGGACTACTCACCGGCTGACCCAGTGGAGAGATTCAAGAGATTACCTCAGGGCGCCTTGTATGAGAATAGAAGTGTGTGCGTGTGGGAAACCTATGGGACTCTTTAGAGGAAAACAACTTACACCTCAGTTATACATACATGTATATTTCAAAGAAAAAGTAGATCAAATTAAACTAATTAAACAGTGTGGGTACAAGAAAAAGAAAAAAAAAAAACCGCAGCGGTGCGCGTTAGAGCCGAGCTGATGGTGCTCGGTGCCTCCTCGTCGTCCCTCCAGGAGGTTACTTCCTCTTCCGCCCGAGTCGGCTATTTATATTAGATATGGATAAAAATTTAACAATCTGCAATTATAAGTTTAAGTACGTAACTCTTGGGTACGGCTGTCCGCTTGCGTCGTGAGCCGCGCAATCACCAGCTTTGCCAGAGGGTACCGAGAAACTTGAGTCTGTACCAGAAGGCCACAAAAGAGCAAGCACGCCGTCTAAGACTGACCGTCTTGACCCCGAAATCTGGGACCCTACGAATGGATTAGCACTCATATAAATTAAACAGGTTCCAGAAACAAATAGGTTTAAGAAGAATTGAGAGAATACTTACCACATTAGTGGGTAGATTATAACAGACTACATATTACGAAATTCAAATTACACGACAATCAAAACACTATTTAAGGTTGGAAGACACGAGATAGCAGAGTGTCTCCCGTGGCAGAAAGCCGGACCTATATATCCTCGGTTCAGGAATCTTCCAGAAGTTAACCCCTCCTCATCATTTCACTTTGACATTTACATTGAGAAAGAAAACAACGCTAACAAAATCAAAAGTAACTTGCTTTCCACCATAGCTGAACACTCCCAATACCTATGCAATTTGTAATGACAGATTACCAGAACAGATTAAAAAGTAAGTATTTTTAATTAAACTATCATGTCTCAAACAAACGCCATCTAGTGGTCCGAAAGTGAACAAAGGAGATCAATACCGTAGCTACAAACTACTTTAGATAAATCAACAACAAAGCGATGCGGCCAAACAGGTGCCGCTTTTATCAATATCGTACGTATCACAAATGCACAAAAAAAATAACTGTTACAAACTACTGCATGTTTGTAATAAATGATATTTATTTCTGTACCTAAGTAAATCTTTTTTTAGATATTTTTTACAAGTCGGACTTTACAGCTAGAAAGCGGCATTTCCTAAGACTCACTCTGGGAAGAAACGCAGAAACAAACTACACAGGTGTCTTTTTTGTCAGTAAACAAAGTTATAGAAAACTGTGAGTACAGTATAGGGTCTCGGTAGGCCTTTTGAAGAAAGTACCATATCTTTGAGTCGGCCTGTTTATACAGACCGCATGCTGGCACCACCGCCAGCAGGACCTTTGGGTAGGCTGTGGAAACACTCAAATCCACCAGAAAGTTACCAAATATCAACAAACATTACAAGCCTACACACTATATTTACAAAAAAAAGTATATTCAGTTGTCTAGTAGTCATAGTACAAGCTCTGATTAGTTTGGGACTAGATGGCGTTGTGTGAATGTGGTAGAATATTATTATTTATATACACAAAAACTATACTAGACAAATAAAACACATAACATCAATTTTTAAAAATTTTAATCTCAAATATCATCAATAGCATCATCAAATCTCAAGCATTATTATCACCAGTGTCTGTATACCGTACAGTTGTTGCTGGATTGTTGTCCCAAGTTGCTCGATAGTGTCAAAAAGTGGTAAGTGTTTGGTTTCTGGTACCAGAATAAGAAGCCCACTCGATATAATTGCTAAACCACCGAAGAACATAGTTGGTAGACCCTCCGATATTGTGTTCTATGAAAATTAAAAACATATTTTGCTAAGTACCTACCTTCTTCAAATGGAGTGACGTTATTTAAAAACTATGAATGTTAAATATCAAGTCTATAAAATATACAGGTTATTTGACAGTCATAACCTTCCTTTTAAACTAATCTTTTAGAGTTCTATGATGTCGAATTATAAAACTGAATAATAGATGATATCTCCTTCCAGATATCTTACAAAATAATTACTCATTGAAAATACACGCATATACGCACGTGGCATCTAGCTCAAACTAATGTTTACCAAACAGTTATGTACTCATCTTTGACTTAAACTATAAGGATGTCACTTAATGTATATTTAAACCATAATATAATAATCGTACCAATAGGTACATAGGTGTTAGCTTAGTAAAAAGGACGGTGTACATAAATAAAATAACAATAATACACATACACAATAATAATAATACACACACAAAGAAATGTCCTTATTTTTAAGCCTAAAAACAAGAGAGAGTCCTCTCAGGACCTCAGTCCAGTTTACATATACAGGTGTGCAAAGTCGTTGCGGAAGTTCAGTATGTCTACACACCAAAGTATAACCTAAATATTCTCTCTGAGCTCTAGATGATATTATAACATTCGCTCAACGTAGAGCGTACACAGCTATCACAAGGGTCGAAATACAAGCCGTTTAATGCTCCAAGCCGAGGTTAGAACCTAGGCTAGTTTCACACGGTCACCCTCTGCAGCTACGAACCTCGACCTGTAGGGCACAAACCTTTTTGCAACGTTACTTAATTAAGACCAGTTGACCTCAGCGCTCGCCACAAGGCAATGGAAGGCTGTCGAGGCCACCTGCGACCAACAGCCATACTCGTACATCACACAATAAATAAAACGTTTCATTTACGTTATTGAAGGAACACGTAATATTAATTTGCAACTACCAAAGTTTTTATTTTAAACGTTTATTTCTTCCTATCGGGCTAATATATAATTTTTGGACTAGGTTGCGCTGATGTTTGAAGACTTAGAAAGAGTTTTTTTTTAACTTACCAATATTGGAGTGATTGTTGAAATCATCGTTGCTAATCGAGCGCCGAATGCTCCCAAGCCAAGAAGCGTTCCTCTAACGCTAGTTGGGTACAGCTCCATGCTGTACGTAATAGTTCCAGAGAAACACAGAGATATAATCATTTTTCTCAAAAAGAAAAGTGTCAGCTTCGCCCAAATGTACGCTGTGAATTAAATTTGTAATATATCTAATTATGTCTAATATTTATAATTTTATTTAGTCAGATCAAAAAATAGTTTCATAATACATGTCAAAGATAAGAAAAAATATGTATATTTATTGGAACAAAGCTCTTTATAGCGCGTTACACGCTCTGAGAGGCTGGGAGCAAGACCGAAAAATAAAGAACAAGACTTTTTTCCGACACTATAGCAAACGTCTACCAAAAAGCGAAAGGAACTTCGTTCTGACCATGGGTCCGTAGACTCCTCACGCCATTTTATATAATTTTTTAACATATAATCCACATCATTATCTACGAGTAAACATTGAATTAAATAAAATAGGAGCGAGATGTGGGCGTTGTCACTCCATTAGTACAATTATGTATTAGAATTTGTACAATAAATATAAATAGGTCAGTTTTTAAATCAACAAAGTTACAACAAAAATGCTTTACAATAAACAATGCTTTGCCATTGCAAAGCAGGGATTTTTTTTTAGTGTAAAATGACATCAAAAGTGACATCGACATGAATGAAGTCCCTAAAATGTGTGTTAAAACTGTCCAGAAGACAACGGAATAATGATTTTACTATATTATTGTATATTCCATAAAACACCATAACATTGTAAAATTTACCCCTTTGACAACAGCACTGCAAAGAGAAGGAAAACTTGAAACAAACCCTATACCAACCCGTCTCGCCAGCGTTGTATAGTAGGCTAAACCCTCCTTTCTAAGGAGAGGCCTATGTCCAGTAGTGGACTAGTAAAGGCTGTTGATAATGATCCAATTGAAGTTAAAGATTTAGTTTTACGCTGGACTCTCACGAACAGCCTTAACAGTTTTGAATGGAATATCCTCTAAAGAAAAAAAATACAAAATTAGTAGACCAAAACCTCCTCTTTGAGGAGAGGACTATGTCCAGCACTGGATTCTTAATCACTGTTGATTAGGATCTTCTTATTATAAAATGATGTAAAACATTGTGAATTGGACACGATCGCTACAATATTGAGCTGACAAAAAACTCATACCATTTACATCACATTACACACAAATTTGCATTAAATTTTAAATTTAGACCAAGGATATATAAACATGAAAATACTTACTTGCTGGAGTTAAAGCTGATACGATGCAAAGTACTCCGCATGTTAAGTATCCAGTTACTAAACATATTTTCCTTCCAGTTTTATACAAAACGCGAGATTTTGGCTCTATAAGCCTATATCTCGCCCGGAAATGATACCAACACAGTCAGAAAAAAATTTAGGTGTTTATCTCCTGGTAGCCACACCACCTGTGACGTCAGCCTGTGACCACGGCCGGTGCAACCTGGTCGAAACGTCAGGCAAACCAGAGGTATGTAATACCCTAAATAAGAGATCGCGTTAATTCCCGTTAAATAATATTAATTATCATGGAACGCGAAAGTTTAAAAGTTAGTATAGCCACACTGAATTGAACATCATCCCATTGTATACCATTCTGATTGTAAATCTGCAGGTGAACCTAACTAACACACGTTTTATTTATAAAAATTTCACAAATCCTTCTTTTACTTCACTACATCTTATATTTAACTTTTTTTTCAGTGTTGCCTCATCAAGATTTTTAGGTCCTCATTTTTAATATGAATTTTATTGACTTCTGCAATTTTTAGGAATGTTTTCTTGGCTTTTTCTGTTTTACCACTGACAATCTGCCATCGAGGGCTTTCATTAATAATAAAAAATAACACGATAAGGAAGACGGGAGGTGCGTTAATAATGTAAATTACTTTTTTCCAATTTGGCACTAGAAATGCAATGCCAGCAAACATGCACTTTCCTAAGTGAAGGGAACTGAAATAAATAACTCCTGTCACATGACGGTACTTGTTTGTGGTAATTTCAAGTACTGAAATCGAAAAAAAACATAAAAGAAATATATATTTTATTGGTTTTCGATCACCATCATCAAAGAGTTGGGCTAGAAGTTGTTCTGTGTTACTACTCCTATATTTATTTTAAATACTTACTCAATATCATAGCAGCAGCATAATTTCCACCCGTGATCGTTGCTTCAATAAATTCTATAAGTATGTATGTACATGTTGTACGAAGCGGCAATGGTTTTTATTTGGCCGAAACAACCTCCTACTACGCAAACAACTAAAGTCGGTTTGCGTCCAATACTGAAAATCAAATGTCCATACATACATACATACGCTCACATTTTTGTCATAATTTATAGTAGGCAAATTACTTTAGTCCTACATATGTAATATGACGACTGCACGAATGGCGTAGTGGTTTAAGCGGTCACCTTGCCGCTTCCTACTGCGCTGGGTTCGATCCCCGCATGGCTCATCACTTTGTGTGATCCACAAATTGTTGTTCTAAGTCTGGTGTTCTTTGTATCCGTTTCATGTTGTCGGAGTTGTCCTTTTAAACAAACAAAAAATTGTGAGCAAGACTATCCCCGTCAACCAGGGTCATACATTTCTAAAAACTTATTTTATTATTTTATTTATTTTTAGCCTGTGTTGTCTCACTACAAGACTAAGGCCTCCCTTTCTCCCTTTCACATCTCTCTATAATGTGCTATTTCGGGCCAGTCTATTCGGCAGCAATCTAGACCGTTCCTCCATCGTCGTCTGGGCCTAACGTCGTTCTTTAGCACCTTGTGGGACCAAGTTGTGCTAACTTTCCATAGGAATGCGGCAAACTAGTGAGACCCAATCCCACTTGAGTGCGGTGGCTTTATTTGAGACATCTGCGATTTGTGTTTTGTAGCGTAGTACTGTGTTAAGCTTATTTAAATATTCCTAAATAGTTATTTAAATTACAGACAAATACACAGAACGAATGATGGCGATTATTTTCATACAATATTTGTCCTGGATGGGCATTGAACCTACGACCTCTGGCTCAGCAGTCAGAAAATAAATAAATAAATAATAATATGATAAAATTTAATATTACTATGCTAAAAAATAATCTTTATTTATATAAACAATTCTTATTTATCTAAAGAAGTTATTTGCTAGTCAAAAGTGTTATTAACTAGTCTTATTACCTTTTATCTTTAATGTAATTACAATGAGTTGGTTAAGTATTACAGACGGATATGCACTCGTATAATGGGCGGCCTTACTGCTAATAGCAATAGCTAATTACAGTAGCGATTAAAAGAAAGTTAGATTTTCGTTTTCAAATAATAAAGAACACTGATATTCTCACATACTTTAAAGTCCTTAGCTTGTAATGTCATCAGTATATTACTAAAAGCAAGCAACATGTGCATACAAATAATTATATCGTGAAAAATTAGAAAAATAAACCGTTATTGAATATTTTGGTCACTTTGAATCTGATGATAACAAGTACTATTTAGCATTATCTCCGTCTAAGCTTATGGGTGCTGTATCTGGATGTACATATTCAAATAAAGTAATGTTGGCTTAATTGCGTTTGACTCGAACTAGAATACTCGTATTAGAATCGAACTGAACAAAATCACGCAGTGAAAATGGGATATTTCGTCCCTAGTTTTCACGGGAAACATTACAGCCAATCCAGTTTTTAGAATTATAGACTATTTTTGTTTAATTATAGACATTATATGTAAAGAGTTAAGGTTATATCCTCACATTATGCGCAATTTTGGTAAGACGTTTGTACACTTTTTGTAATTAATGGGAGAGCATTTTTTTTTTAAATATTGACGTATAATTATGCTTATTCTTGCACTATTGCCTTCTGTTACATTAAGTTAAATTTAATAGAAGTGTTTTTTCTGTATACGAGTATAGTACAGTATCTACTTTAAAACCCCTTTTATATTTTAATAACTGAGTTTTTGTCTTTGATACATTTGTCTTATGGAAGGTGCTATATTAACAGTCTTATAAATACAGTTAAGAGTGTTACCTCAGCTATAACGGTATTATCGTTCTCATAAATCCAATTGTCACATGCGACTGTTTCGCCGATGAAACTGTTATTTATGCAAACCTCTTCCCCATTTCTCAGCACAGGTTTGGAACATCGATCTATGTTTGTATCTGGCCACCAACTTGGAAACTTTTCTGTTGAATTATCATCTTCGCATTCGCTGACACGACATCTGTTAATCCATAAAATTTCATCTGCATTAGAATTTTGATCTGTTCAAAATAAAATCATAAATAAAGACACTTTATACACGGCCGATTGATCCAAAGATTACTCAGAACTTGTATTATGGAAATCAAACTGCTGATAAACTCAGTTATCCATATCGGTGCGGTTAAACGCCTTAAACGGATATATCGATTCTTATTGGATCTCTTAAAGACTCTAATCTTATGATTTCATGAACTACGCGAATGTATTTTTTTCTATTATCAAGACTAGTTAGGTTGAATAATTAATAAAAGGACATTTTCAATACTGCATTGCATTCCGTTGTGCTCCTCTTTATATCATCATCACCCTATCACTGTCCACTGCTGGACATAGGCCTCTCTCTTTATATAATCACACACAATAGTCAATAATAAAAATACCATGCAGAGTACAGTCGCGGGTATAGGTTTACTTACAATTTTTTTTTTTCAATTAAATACTGTCGATGACGTCTTAAACGTAACTTATCACTTTTTATAGTCTACCATATAAAAAATTTGCACAACTCGCTTCATCTTTACAGCTTTTCACGGTTAATCATCTCCAAGAAATAGTTTTGTATTCGTTACTGCATTTATCTGCACATGCAGTATTTTAAGGCGAAAGAAGTGTAAAAATATTTTATACCACGAGTATATTATTATTACCAATATGTTACTGTGTAACATATTGGTAATAATAATAATAATAAGCGCACGGAGTACCGTGCGCTTATTGGCACAAAATCAAATGGCATCCTGTTACACAGTAAAAAATATATAAATGAAAATGAAATAACCTTACAATCCATCTCAACAATCCATCT